ATTTGTAAATCATTTATAGTAATTTCAACCATAATAACTCACATAATCCATGAGAAATGGCCCTAAACTCTGATTCTACAAAAGATCTTGCCACCACATTTTGCTTCTTGCTTCTCCATGTCACCAGATTACTTCCAAGGAAAATGCAATATCCTAATGTCGATCTATAATCCAATTTAGAACCAGCGTAATCAGCATTGGTGTAGGCTTCGAGAGTAAGAGTTTCATTCTTCTTAAATAGAGTGCCCTTCCCTGGATTACCTTTCAAGTAATGCAGTACCCTGTCCTTGGATCGTGAATGAACCGACTAATTACACTCACCGAGTAAGCTATGTCTGGCCAAATGTGAGCAAGATATATCAATCTGCCAACCAGCCTCTCGTACATTCTCTTGTCAACCGTTGGTGCTTCTTTAGCTTCACCCAACTTATGGTTCTGGGCAATTGGTGTAGATATTGGCTTACACCCACTCTTTCTTGTTTCTATCAATAAATCGGTCACATACTTCTATTGATATATGAAGATCCCTTGCTTGGAGTATGCCACCTCAATTCCTAGAAAGTATTTAAGTCTTCCTAATTCTTTTACCTCGAATTCTTTGATCAACCTTTCCTTTAATTTCATCTTTTCCCTCTCATCATTTCTTGTAACTATGATGTCATCCACATAGACAAGCTCCCCCTGTGGACGAGTGTTTAATTAAGAGAGTGTGATCCCCTTGACTTTGTTTATACCCAGACTCATTCATGACTTTTGCAAATCTCCCAAACCATGCCCTAGGAGATTGTTTCAATCCGTAGAATGCTTTTCTTAGCTTGCACACCTTATTACTCGTGTCAGCATTGAAACCTGGGGGAATACTCATGTATATTTCTTCATTTAAATCTCCATGAAGAAAGGCATTCTTTACATCATACTGCAAAAGTTTCCGGCCTAGGTTAGCAGCTAATGATAACAGAATTCTTACGGTGTTCATCTTTGTAGTAGTCAACCCCATAAGTTTGTGTGTATCCTTTGGCCACTAACCTTGCCTTATATCTCTCAAGGGATCCATCAACATTGTATTTTGTTGTAAAGATCCATTTACAATCAACAATGGTTTTTTAGACACATAATGAACCTTTTGTGCGTTAGAGATAGGCGTTAAGAGAGACATAGTGAGATAATGGATACAATGGTCGTTTAGAGCATTCTCTAGTCCCTTTTCTCTTGGAAATGGGTAGATCATCTTCGGTATCGGTGGAAGCATGATGTGTGTGTAAAGGTGGGTCAGCTCTTACCGTGTTCTCATTCCCAAGACATGAGTCATAGTTTTGGACTTGCGTTGGCGTAGGAAAGACCTTTCTTCTTGTATACACTTGAGGAGGATTTGGAGAATTGTTGTAGACATCGACCCTACTTGGGTTTGAATCAGGTTCATTGGATGGTTCAGATTCATTTAGAGGGGTGGATGACTCGGGTGCGACTTGTTCCTCCTCTACGGACTCTAATGTGGAGTCAACACTACGAGTTACGAGGTCAAGTTTTTTGAGTGGTTCAAAAGTTTCCCAAGAACTATCTTCCATCATTGAATTCTCCCCCTGAAGGGAGGACTTGGAGAAAAAAGGTTTGTTTTTTGTGAAAGTGACATCAACAGAGATGTACAATTTGTGGGATGAGGGATCGTAGCATTTGTACCCTTTTTGAGTAGATGAGTAACCAAGAAAGACATACTTAATGGCTTGAGGATCTAGCTTGCTTCTATGTTGGTTGTGGATGTGAACAAAGGCAGTGCACCCAAAATCTTGGGTGTGAGACCATTTGATGTTCTGAAGTGAGGGTAGAAGTCATTAGGAAGTTCCATGGGAGTTTTATTTCCCAATGTACGTGAAGGAAGCCTGTTTATCATGTGTGTGGAAGTAAGGACAGCTTGCCCCAATAGGATTTAGGAACATTTCCCTAGAAAAGCAATGCTCGAGTAGTGTTAAGTAAATGACCATTTTCCCTTTCAGCTACCCCATTTTGTTGAGGTGTGTTAACACATGAAGAATCATGGATAATGCCTTGTGATTCAAAGTACGATGATAAAATCTGGTAGAAATAGTCTTTGGCATTGTCGGTCCTAAAACTCTTTATTTTGACCCCAAATTGGTTTTGAATCATTGAGTGGAAGTTAGGTATAACATTGCTAACTTCATATTTGTGTTTAAGAAGGAAGTGCCATGTTACCCAAGTACAATCATCAATTAAGGATACAAACCAACGAGCCCCATAAACATTAGGTATGTTAGAAGGTCCCCATATGTCACTATGAATTAACTGGAATGGAAGAGAGCTCCTTTATTACTCATAGGAAAAGAAACACGAGTATGTTTGGTCAATTTGCAAATATCACAATGAAACTTAGAAATATCTAATCCTTGAAATAGATGAGGAAACATGACATTTAAAACTCTAAAGGACGGGTGACCTAAAAGCAGTGCCCTAAACACGGGTGATACAACCAGATTGTATCTTTATTAGATGAACTGAGAAAGGATGAAGGTGGAACGTTGCTTTTCTGGGAAAATTCAAGATGATAAAGGCCATTCCTTTCCTTAGCAAGTCCAATCCTCTTCCTCGAGTCTTGTTCCTGAAAAACACAATATGAAGAGGAAAAAATAGCACAACATTTAAGATCATGGGTGACTTTTTGGATTGAAACAAGGCTGGCTGACAGTTTTCGTACATGTAAGACATTTTTTTTAAGACAAGGTTGGGTGTGATATGTATATCTCCAAAACCTGCAACAGTTGCTAATGAGCCATTGGCTATTGTAATATTTTGGTTGCTAGGGCATGGAGTGTAATTATGAAAAAAATTGGAAGGTGTCATGATCAGTGGCACCGGAACTATTATCCATGAGTTGACAAGATTATTACTCGAGGCATTCAGACAAAAAGGAAAGGTGGTTTACTTGAAAGAGTTAAAGAGCAAGTTCCTGATGACTTTTCTAGAGAACCCAAAAAATTCTTTAACCTCTCAATTTCTTCATTGTTGAACTCTTCTCTTGCTGAAGTCTCCTCTGGTTTGGATTGCTCAACAATGTGTGCTTGAGATCTTTGCTGCCTCCATTGAGGTTTTTGTTGCCCCCCATGGGTTCCCCATTCACGACTCTGTTGTCCACCATAGTTTCCCCATTCTCTATTGGGTGGTTTCCCATTTAATTTCCAGCATTATTCTTTCGAGTGTCTTGGTTTATTGCAGCAAGTGAACCAAAGACTATCTCTGTTCTCCTGAGTTTCTTTTCCTCTGAACTTGGACAGATCTCTCCTCTCCTCATGTTGATTGGTCCTTGTTGCTAGGGCTGATCCGTCCATAGCTTGTTCAAGCATGACATTCCTCCTCCTTTCTTCTATTTTGATCAAAGAGATCACTTCTTCAAGTGATGGTGTGTCTTCTTTGCCAAGTATTTGAATCCTGACTTGATCAAATTCAGGATAAAAACCAGCCAAAAAATCATAGACTCGGTCTTTTTCAATGAAACTTTTTAAGATAGTTGCATCTGTAGGGCACTTCATCTCGAAAACTCGATAATGATCAAGTTCCTGCCACAGATTTTGCAATATATTTGCATATTCAGTGACAGATTTGTTTCCTTGCTTTGTGGCTGAGGTTTTAACCTTGATCTGGTATACTTAAGCCGCATCACGAGCCTTCGAATAAGTGCGGCGAACAAACTCTCTTATCTCTTTTGCAGTGGAGGGAAACATGCATGTATCACTGGTCATTGGGTCCATAGATTCCCATAGCCATGACATTATCATGGAATCTTCCTCGTCCCAAGTTCCAAATGTTGGATCATCTACAGCACGACCTGCTTTAATGAGGTGTTTGAGTCTCCCTTTGCCTTTCAAAATGTTCGGACAAATTGAGACCACTTGAGATAGTTTTTGTCATTGAGTCTATAGAGTGCCCGAATATTCTGCAGATCTCCAATTTTTTGGACAAAATTGGACTCATCGAAGGATTTAACAATGGTGGTGTCATTATTTGTGGGTTTTGTCATGATGAAGGAAAGGGAATTGCAAAAGAGAATAAGAAAAAGGTCGTTCAATCAAAGGAAATACAGCAATTAAGGCTGTTCGATCAGAAACACTTGCAACGATGAAAGTTGCACACTGAGAAGAGCAATTAAGGCTGAAAAAAAATAGAACAAAGGTTTTAGATTTCTGAGAGAAACCTAAAGCTCTGATACCATGACAAGAAAAATGAATTGAATAATGACTTTTCACACTATCCTTTGATTATACAAGGCCCTGCATATAGGGTATTTACAAGAGATAAAGGGAAACTAAATCAAGGAAAAGATACAAAAAAAGATAACGATAAAGAAGGTAATGGTATCTCATAATTATAGTTACTATATTCCATAATTATAGGGATTCCTCCTGATCTATAATATGTACATTTCGACATTCCCCATCTTTGTTTCACTTGTGGACCATGTATGATAATTTTAAGGTACCAAGCATGGAGTAAATATGACGTGCCCTTTTGTTGCTTGATGCTTGAATGTAAAGTTGCCACTTCCTCGTCTTTATTTGCTAGCACATCTCATGTCTAGCATAGAGTTAAGAGAGAGTACAATTTTTTTTCTTTTTTATTATATATGTAACTAATAGCTGTATTGATTCATAATCCCGAGTAAACTGATTTTACTTTATGTTTTTTGAGACAACCTCAAGTTTGTTAGCAGATAAAACAGTAAGGGGTGTGCAATCGCTATAAGGGCTCAGAGCTTGCTGCTACTTGACTTGGGGCAATCAAAGTTCAGTGAGATTGCTTAAAGCTCTGTCAAAGAAGCCCTTCTTATTAACTAAAATAATCCTCCCCAACAACCTATTAATTAATATTAAGACTAGCAGTTGAACCTTCATTGGCTGGTGCTTCCAGGTAAAATGAAACTCTACTTCATGTATGCACTAACATTATGAGCTTAAAAAATACAACACATAAATTTCAAAATTAGATAGCAATACCGTTAATGCCACTTCTTCGTCTTCCTTCCTTGACACCTTGTAGGCAACACCCCACTATAATAAGTTGGAAAATCATCAAACACTACATAAAATAAAACTAAACGTTTTGAAGATAAAATATGCTACAGGGGTACTATATCTAAAACATGATAAACAATAATAAGATGAATAAAAGTAGGGTTCAAAAAATACGGAATGGCACTCAATTATAGAAGTTACTTATTATATTTTAAATTTTAGAAGCATCAGGTTCCATCACTAAACATGGACAGACATCCATTGCCAAGACGTAACTGTTAGTCATTTAGCCTATATTGCTTTTATTAATATAGTCAACATAGTTTTTGATTTATCATTTTTACTTATATGTCGTCGCGTTGGTTTAACCATAAAATCAGGTTGAAATCTCTAACGATACATGTGTGTTGCCTCCTCCTAAATACTAAATAGTCCATAGACCTCAACTTAGATCATATCTTACTATAAAAGATAGTCTTAAAGCAAATATCACACTTGTCAAAGAATTTTAATCTGTTTTATTTTCCTTCTCAGCAGTAGTTATTTCTCTATGCTGATACGAATTACATGAAGCAAACAACACTATCAAATCCCGTTTGTACAGATTGCCTTTTTAACATAGAAATGTTGTATATCTGGAGAAATAATTATGTTTAAGGTACTCAATTGAATGCCAAGATGCATTTCCTCTCTTCTACTTTTTTCATCACATATTAGTGTTTCACCACATTGATTTTAAAGCATGCACCTTCTAGGGGATACAATCACTATTTGCATGTGCATTAGCCGTTCGAAGACCGCATACACATGATACAAATTCAACACGAAGTGCATTGGTGAGGGGTTGGAATTCAACATTGGGGAAAAGGGTACCACAAAAGCACCAGTTTTAGGTATCTAGACTCTATGATTCATAATGAGGGCGACATGGATGATGATATAGTAGCTAAAGCGGAGAGCTGCCAGGCATGTTGCGTGACAAGAAGATCTCGCTAAAACTGAAGGACAAATTTTACATTGTAGCCATTGGACCAACTATATTGTATGGATCAGAGTATTGGGCAATAAGGACGGCCCATGAGCAGAGGATGGAAGTTGCAGAAATGAGGATGCTTAGATGAACATGTGGTAGAT